TGGAACAACTCATACCTTACGTTCTGAATTCCATAATCTCGAATTACGTTTGTGTCCGTCCTTTTTACCGCGCCATAATTCGGAAACAAAGGCGAATTTTGAATTCCGTTTTCGGAAACAGTTAACTAAGGGCTACAGTTCGTCGACATTAAACAGACAAATGGTTAGTTCATGTCGAGGTTCATGTCAAAGCAAGCGCGTACGCTCAGGCATAGTGTAAGAATAACTCTATTCGTATAATAAATACTGGCACTGCCAAATTTGCCATGACACCACTGACTCAACAATATAGCAACTATTAACTATTGGACAGCTTTGAAAATGGCCTGCTGTATTTTGGTCGAAACATGTGCTCGAGGTAATTGTTCATATTTTCAACAATTATACTTGATGAAGGTTACATCGTTTTGTTTATTTTTGTGAACCTGTACCTTTTTCAGAGATGAACACAATCGATTTTTCATATAGGAATACGTATTGACAGTACTAAAGTGCTGAATTTATGTATTGGAAAATTTGAATCGATTTACTTTATCCGAGACTTCATCTGAAAATCTTAATACTGGAAATTTGCAAATACTGGTATTTTATTTTATTTTATTATCCCTCTCTTGTTTTGGGCCTTCAACAGGCATGCGCCCAATTTATTTATTTTGAATCACAATGTAATTATTTCTGAGAGACCTATGATGACTAAATGAGATATTATTACGTACCTGCCTACGATTCAATGTAAGGATGTCTCATTAACCCTTTAGGCCAAATAAAGTATTTCCCAATCCCAGAATTTCAGAACTGAGCATCTTGTCAAATATGATATTGGCATTCTATGCTTAAAATGGTAAATTTTCTAAAATATGTGCAGACTATAAGAATATGAGTCGAGTGTGAACTTTACTCGGCGTAAGGTAAGTACAAAATTGATTTATTTACTTCGGTACACTTCGCAAAAAACTTACCGCTGTTTAATATCCATTCTAAAGCTAAACTTCGATCCTTCGGAAATTTGAACATTGCTAGGTATATTTGGATTTTTTCTTCGATTATTTTCACAATATAAATATTGACATTTATTCCCTGCCATTTCACAGAGAAAGTAAAATTAAAATGTCCTCTATTTAAAAACAAAAGTAAAACTGCTTTATGTAGGTAGGTACCAGATTCTATTATTTACAGTTTACACTATTCCATCAGACTATTGAAACGGAGGCTGTATATAATATGGGTAAAAGTACCGCAAGAATTTTATAATTTATGATTCTTTTGTCTATTTTACCCTCCCTATCTTCTAATGAGGGTGTAAGCTTAAAATCGTAAAACATCCGATACCTAAAATACAATGTAATTGTGAGTCACAGGACGCGGACTAGAAACAGTTTTGCAAAATGTAAATACTATTTTAACCCCGTTGTTAGCGCCTTTTTGCAAAAAATTTTTTTTGTAAAAAGTAGCTTTTAATCTCACTTTGGCTGGCTGGCTGGCTGGCTTGGTCGGCTGGCTGGCTGGCTGGCTGGCTGGCAGTAAATGCGCGCCCGTAGAAAAACGCTTGTAAAAAGACAAGGAGTGTACATGTAACTATCGGGGCCGTGTAATTAAGAACGTTAGGGATGGGGCTACAAGATTTGGAGTCGACGACATCTGGACGCCATCCCCGAGCGTATTATACTAACCTGGAGATTTTTCAGTTTTTATCTATCTTCTTCTACAGTTTTTCTCCGATTGTTTTCAAATTGGTGTCGTCGGGAAGATCTTGTCAACGCGCACAACTCCTGCGTCGCGGAATTTTGTTTTTTTTTCCTAGGGGCGACATAAACCACCTTTTGCGCGGCGCGCTTCGAGGGGTAGCCGGTAGACGACTTTGGGCGCCCAAAAGTTTCTTACAGCGCGAATCACGGTCTCTCTTTCTCGTGTCACTAATAGAAGGTCGAGCTATGTGAAGTACCCAAAAGTTGAATACGATTTTATGCCGGGATTTTAGCGAAATCTACCAAAATGTGAATTACGAATGAACGGGACGTCGGAACTGTGTATCGACAAAGGGAATGTGGTAACCCCCGACGAGATCTTACTGATGGTGGAGTCGAAACTTCAAATCCGAATTGTTGCGGGTGATCAGAAGTGGGTGTCGACAAAGGGAATATGGTAACCCCCAAAGGATTTTAATGATGGTGGAGTCAAAACTTCAAACGCGAATTGCGAGTGCACGGTAAGTGAGAAAATGGTACCGACAAAGTGAACGTGGTAGCTTTCGGCAAGATCTTATTGATGGTGGAGTCAATATTGGCTAATAAAACACTGATCTGCCACACAAAAATGCGCTGAAGTCCCTTCGATCTCACACGAGGACTTTGATCATTTTTTATATTGAATTCAATATCGACTAGTCCCAGAAAGAAATAGATATTTAAATATCAGTTTGTTTTTTGAATGCAAGAAAGACGTATATTTTGCATAGAATCTTCTCGCTGGACGGATCCTTTTACGTTAGGAAACGCAAATTGTACACGCAGAAAGGCGTTTTAAAAAGTATAGTGCCACAAACAGTCCTCACTTCTGAGAAATGGATACAATAATGAAAAAGTGTATGAAGGCACCTAAATATTGTTCCTATTAAGCGGGTTAGCTTTAGTAAAAGCGCCCACCAGTTCTCAAAACGTACCGACTATCTACGGGCAAAGAGTATTGTTTGGTACGGCCGACAGTTATGCACTATATGCACAATAATGCCAATAAAAAAATCCGATTTTTGCAACAGTAAATTCTAAATTTTTTTGTAAATGGTTATACAATTCCATTTAGGTATTCTGAAAATTTTACGCCCTTAATAGTCCAAGAGCCCAGTAGGAAAGTATACCTTGAACGCCCGGACGATTCTAATAATTTTCGTAGGATTCGCCTATTCGCCATAAAAAGTTGCATTAGAATCGACAACGGTGCCGGCGAAAATCCTGCCGAAAGCAGTTAAAAAAAAATTAAATTCGCCCCTTATTTTTGGAAAATGTACTTTATTTTATTTATTTTTATATTTTGGTCCGGGAGAAAAAGGTAGTTTAGTACGAATTACCACCCCATTTGTAGTCGCGGTGCCAAGGGTTGCGGCAAGTTGCGCCCCGGCACCGTGACGTTTTCCGATAAAACTCATCCATATGCACCCTTTAGTACTCTTCCTGAACGTCCGGGAGAATAGAGTACATTTTCCAAAAATAAGGGGCGAATTTAATTTTTTTTTAACTGCTTTCGGCAGGATTTTCGCCGGCACCGTTGTCGATTCTAATGCAACTTTTTATGGCGAATAGGCGAATCCTATGAAAATTATTAGAATCGTCCGGGCGTTCAAGGTATACTTTCCTACTGGGCTCTTGGACTATAATAAAATTACGTGCAAACGCATGCTTTGTCTCCCTCGCTACGGCACTTGTACGTTTTTGCTATTACGTTTATTACGAGAATCCTAATAGTGTAAAAGTGGATTTTTTGCACTACGCCTGAATCGACTGAAATGATCGTAATTTCACCTTAAAAAAATAAAAAGTGAACTTTTGCGCTCCTTATGTCTGTCTGAGTCACAAAGGCTCCGGAACTACACCACTTTATACATACTTGGTATTGGTGCAATTCGATCAGAAATTAAAAATTATTTCATGTTTGTTTACTCGTTGGCATGAATGTCCATAAGGGCTATTAAAATCGAAAAAAACAAATTTGAAAGTGCACTCTTCGCCTCTTGCTTAGCGGCTTAACGAATTTTTCACTTTGTGCCTTTGCACATGTTTCACCATATCAACCAACACAACCCCAAATGAATACTAAAATTTGATACTATCCTATTCCTGCACCTAGGGATTATAGCATACAGCAGCACTGAATTAAAAAAATCCCAATTTTTATATTAACTTATGATAGTTGCATAGGTGTATTGTAGTGAAAATACCTCGAACAACACGTGCTCTACATCTTTTACTTTTAGCGCTTTTCTCGAAGCAAAATGTCAAATAAGGCCAGATAAACAGGAACAGTAGTAATGCGTAACGTAACCTTCACCTTACTTTTAATCTTTATTTGCAGAATGTGATTTAAACTGAAGGCAGTTAAAATAAAAGAACAAAGGAGCATTATTTCGCGATCTTTTTAATCTTTCTCTTTCATATGTAACAAAGTGAAATGAAAAATTATAATAAATAGATCGTTGAAAAAAGCGTCACCTTAACTCGTGTAGTGTAAGGTGGCAATGTAATGTGGAAGGTTTGTAGCATGAGTCGCTTTTAAAATCCGTGACAGCAACGCCCTCCCTTCCGATTGTCGCGTCCAGAACTAAAAATTCTCGATGTCCAAATCAGTTTCCCTTTTCCTTCGTAAGGTTGTTTCACTATTCTATTCTTTACACTATGGTATCTATCATTCACCATTTATAATATAACGCGAGCGCATAGATGTTGGAACTGACTCGAAACACAATTCGATTGTTTATATAGCAAACAAAAATCTTTCTAGAATTTCTCCGAACGGTTCCGAATGTCCTAGAACGAACACGTCATATTTCCGGAGAAAAATGAATCACATTCGCCTTCGTTTATTATCGTCGATGACTAAACTTTCACATCAATTTATCAAAATTACCAGTTTACAACTTTCTACGTACAATTACTGCAATCCAGCAACGAGAACAAATCATTCTGATTGTAGAATCTTAAAACCCAGGAACGGTTATCACATTTTAAGGAGAGGCCGACATAATTTCGTTATGAAAGCTCCAACGTAATCAATCATCAAACACTTCAATTATTCAAAAATGCCTCTCCCGTTTCTAATCAATCTTTATTTACCTATGTCGAGTACAATTTCCGATAAAATCGCACATGACGTAACCTTTTAACTTTTTCGTGTTAAGCCACACACGCACCCTGCCAGCAACAATGAATATTAAATTATGTAACTATGGTATTGACGCGACTAGTAGTGGAAATGGATTCTTATTATACGAATACTTTCTGGTTTCAGGTCTTCAAGACGCCATATCAAGAAACCTGCTAGTTTCCGATACAAATATTTTATCAGCGCGAGTGCTCGCAATTAACGCGTCGACGGGTCAGCTGGTGAACTGCGCGTGGTGGCAGCGGCAAGGTTTGGAAATGGGAGGCCCTAGGAAGTTAACCGAGGGCATTCCAGAGGTGGGCCAACGACCCGATCCGGATTATCCTTGGTACGAGGACGCGGATTCCAGTCCCGGTCTGCGCTCACCGAAATTTATGGACAGTCCTCTGAAAGTTTCGTACAGGGGATGGTGGACATATCCCTACTACTCCTGTATCTCCCGCAAATGGCTCACATCCTACAGCGTTCCCATTCCCTCACCCGGACGTCACGGGTACGTCACAACCTCGGTGATATAGCCTCATTCAGCTCTCTTTCAGAATGAAAGGCTATCTAAGCTTAGACGTCGACGTCTCGAATTTGGAAGTGAACCAATGCGAAGACGACCACCTCGGCTCCTACTCCGAAATCCTGGTGCTACACGGAACGCACAAATGTCACAATTTAACTTCGAAGGTAAACGTTTCCCCGAAACACCCGAAAACACACGCCATCCATTTTTCCGTAGTGCGTTTATCGTTCCCAGCTGGGCTTAACGGGCTGGTCCAGAGGGAGCTATCAATGTAAATGCAGACCCGGCTTTTATTCGCCGCATCACGCTGGTATATTTAACGGAACAATTGTAGAAAGTAAGTTTTTCTTTTCTTTTTGTTCTAATTGTCGATGAAATATTTATTTAATTTTCGCTTTGTTCGCGTTTCGTTGCGGTTTTCGAGCACCCCTTCGAGACTGTACGTGACAATTAGCGTCGGAATATTTTCTAATTATGAGGAAGTCCGTCGGGATATGAACTGCTCTTTTCATTCTGTTCACTTTCAGGGCATTCGGTTAGTCTCTGAATGTAAAATATGTACGTGCCATGCTTCGGATTAGTTACAAACCTAATGTAACACAAGATATTGCGGCCACTGCACCACCCACAAAACACCTGTCCAGTTAGCTCAACAAGAAACAAAATTAGAATTTTATAATCTACGGGAAAAATACTAATACTGACTTCCGAAAATTCCAGAGAGTTTCTTTTGGTTAACACCTGAAATAAATTGAACAGAAAAAAAATCTGACATGCAGAACTATCCGGGTTGCACAATGGATTCGAATAAACACACAATGACAAAAATGTGTTCCAAAACGAAATGAAACAACATTAAAACAAAATCGCTGCAAGGAAGAAAACCTTACAAAGCTTGTATGGACATAATTATTACCCCGCACGCAAGCGGCCGACAGATTCTGAACATCTTAATAAAAACAAAACCGGTTTCATGAATAAGACCAACGAATTTTCGATGGCTGTTCGGGTGGTAGAAACTTTTAACTTAAAAACTAAACAAAAGGCGTAAACAAAAGTTACACGCTCTTTAACCGTCACGGAATCATATCTCTTAACAGACATAAAACCCGTGCGTTAATTAATTTTCTACTAAAATTTAAACGAAAACTACGCAATTACAAACAGTTCTATCGAAAAACAAACATTGAAATACAAATTCAAATGAAACGAACCAACTTTGTGTTTATTTCATAAATAATCCCCAGATGTACTTAATAAATATTCAGGATACAGGATGTCGCGTCATTATTTTTGGTGCTTAGACCGAAATAATTTCTGCATTAGACAATATTTTTGTTCAACCTTAAACTTGGTTTTATTTTTATGTGTCAAGTTTACTAAAATGATCTTGAACGATTTCCTAAAAACGTCTAATGAACGCTGGTCGTGAAAGGCCCTGTATACCAATTTCCAAGACTATAAGAATTTCTACTCCGGATTTATCGTGCGCACCGAGCGATCGTCAGACGGACAACCACGAGATTTTAAGGATATAATTTATTTTAATGCCACTTTACGTCATATTGCAATACTGGCATCACCTTTAATTTTTTAAGCAACCAAGCAAGATAGGAAACAGCCATACTTGAATTGTTGAATTCAACTTGCAGCCTGCTTTGGGACGTTTTTACTGAAAAAATTTGGCTCCTTTAAGAAAATGACAAGGGCAAACATTTATTCCGCACAACATGAAAAACAAACTTAAACAAGACGATGAAAGAGCTTTTTAGAGCTTGTTTTTACACATACCCCGCACGCAGGCGGTCAACATACAAGTGAATAAAGAAATCCTAATTACTTACCGTTATTAAACAATCAACTCAATCGGGTCGTAATAAATTTGAGATATTCAGGCGAACTAAAAATGATACACAGAATGCTTTAGGAGCTTCTGACTGAATTACAGTTTTTACATGCTCACGCTGAACGCCCGAAGATTTATCGTAAAGAAATGTACACGTTCTCAAATCGTCGAAAAAACGAACCTCGTCTTCTCGTTGTCTACAGTATTTAAGAAATAACCACTTCCACCATAAAACAAACTCCTTCTTCATGAGGTTTCAAATAAATCGCCAATCGCCGTTAGATTAAATAAACATCGACTCCAAACGTCTCCACTTCTCCACATAAAACTCGAAATTCTTCTTTATGGCTTCCAAGATCCCCATGATAGACATCCTTGTCTTGGGCACAGTATATAAGACGATATGATGATGCTTCCAACATCGAATTTTCCTTGAGGAGGGAGATACTGCCGGCAAATTTTATGAGACTGAAAATGTTCCAGGGGCGAAATTTCCGCAGCAAATGTTCCTGGAGATAAACACTGCGGAAGCGAGTATTCCGGGCACGAACTGAATATTGATTGAGATGAAGATAGAGAGTAAGGTTAGTTCAGGTTCAAGATGAAGATTAAATGCTGATCATGATAAGATCAAAATGAGGATTAAGATTAAAAAAAAACAATAATAAATCGCCAATCGCCGTTTCTACATAAAACGCGAAATTCCTCGTAACATCTGTATGTTCTTACCAGCGGAAGAACACGTGCGTTAATTAAATTTCGCCTAGCATCAAGACTCGTTATCGCAATGGACAAATAAAACCTTTTATAAAACACGCAAATTTGACCATAACGAAAAACAAACACTAAGACACAAATTCAAGTAAAATAAACCAACTTAGTGTTGATTCGTAAATAACCCACCAGATTTGCACTTAAAAATTTAAATAAAGTTAATTTTCTCATGGAGTTTTAAGACTTTCTTTGTTTATTTGTGTCGACCACCTGCGTGTGGGGTACGCGTAAGAACGGGATTGTCTCCCTCTTTATTTTAGGTATTTTTTGATTATTTGTGGCGTATGTGGTTCGGAGTAATTTTTTTAAAATTATATTCAATTAATTGTGCGTTTATTTGAATCCATTGTACAACCCAGATAGAGTTCTTATGTTCTGGTCTTTCTATTTGTGCCCAAGACTTAACTCAGATGTTAAATAAAATTTGTGCAATTGATTCTCGCGAGCGGAAAAAGAGCTCCCGAGCGAAAAAGGAGCTTGCGAACGAAAAAAAGACGCTCATGAGCGGAAAAACTGTTCGTGGGCAGAAAAAAGCGTTCCAGCGCCGAGCACTTGAAGTAAACGCTCGAGTATCGAGCATCAAGCGGCCGTTCCGAAAAGTGTCGCGAGCGTTTTTCCGCTTGGAGCGCTTTTTTAAGCGAAACGCTCGCGATAGGGTACCCAGCTGTGGTTACACTTTGTAGGCGCTTTCAGTCTCATCCATCCCTTAGCTTATATGCATCCTAGCACGGGACCACTTGTTCGGACTAACGGAAATTAATATGGTGCCTTAAAGTTACACAATATAGAAACGAAAATTGGATCTCCTGAAGAATTATTGAAGTTTTCCGAACATTTTTTCACCACCGCACATTCGTTATGCAAATGATCGGACAATGAACTTTTCTATTTATAGTGTCTGCATTCAAACTAGCTTTCCTAACATTGAATTGAAAAGTCAACTCATATTGTTACCGTTTTTAGCGATAGTTCTCAATACGAATTTGTAGGCACGTTTATTTGGCGAAGAAAGTTTATGGCATGGATCTTTTGATTATTTCACGGTTTCTTCTTGGATTTATTTCGAAATACATAAATCCCTACTGAGCTAAAAAATTGCTTACTACCACTAATCGTTGGATTATTGTCAAGAATCGATGCAGATAATTATGTTTCAATTTCAGTCGCATGGCAGGAACAGGAGACGAACAACAGCAACGCATGGTCGACGATATTCCGGTGCAAACAGTGCGCGCCAGGTTGCCACCACTGCTTCGGTCCCGAACCGTGCCTGGCAACCTACAATTGGCCGTTTAGGTATTCCTTTTTGAGTTTTTGCCCCGAAACATTTGGGGTATGCCGCGTCACTAACGTGTTTTTGTTCAATTTCAGGACTGCGATACTAAGTTTTAGTGTTTTTTGCGTTTTTTCGACACTCGCCCTTATCGTTTACATGTATCGGCATAAGAAATTAAAAGTGTTTAAGGTAGCTAGTCCGATTTTCTTGGCGATTACGCTCGTCGGTTGCGGAATTATGTACTTGGAGGTAAAATTTCGGTCGGAGAAACAACAGGGGGCGATTTTCACCCCCATCGCATTTTCAGATGGCTGCCATCTTTCCGGTGTTGGACAAGTACTCGTGTATAGCCACAAAGTGGACGCGCCATCTTGGATTTTGCATCACGTACACTGCCTTGCTGATGAAGACTTGGAGGTGCGTCTTCCGCTAGTTTTTCTGATATTGTCATGTTTCCGTAGGGTTTCTCTGACCTACCGAGTCAAATCAGCGCACAAAGTGAAACTAACAGACAAACAGCTTTTGCAATGGATGGTGCCCATACTTTTAGTAATGCTCATATATTTAGGAACTTGGACGCTATCTGATACTCCAATAGCCGAAGATATCAAGGACAGCACCGGTTTAAGGTTCAAGCAGTGCTCTTACAACTGGTGGGATCATAGTCTTGCAATCGGTAAGCGGTCAAAAACGCCCCAATTGCGTGCTCCACTCTGTGCTTACAGGTGAGGTGTTGTTTCTAGCTTGGGGTGTGCGAGTCTGTTACAATGTGCGAAACGCCGAATCCTTGTATAATGAAGCTAGATTGATAAGTTACGCAATTTATAATATAGCACTCGTTAATACCGCCATGGTAGCAATTCAGTAAGTAGGTAACCTTGTTGACCAGAACCAAAAGCTCCACGAATTTTAGTTTGTTAATATTTCCTCAAGCGGGACCTGACATTAAATACTTATTAGGATTTGTACGAACACAATTATCAACTACCGTTACAATAGGCCTCGTATTTGGACCAAAAGTAAGTGACCAACCCCGGAAATTTCATCTAAATCCCCCCATTAGGTTTTGAGAGTACTAAGAGGACAAGGTGATCAATGGGATAACCGAGCCCGCTCCCGGGGAGTGACGGCATCCTTCTCCCTAAACGGAATCGGGCTAGTACCCGAAGAAGCGCCCGATCTTTATCAGGAAAACGAGGAACTTAAGGTATGACTTCTCAAATAATTATACGATCGGCCGCAATAAAAATGTTCCAGGAGGAAATCCAGAAGTTAGCGGCGCAGATCGAGTTCATGAAGATCGTCTACATGGAAGTGAATAACAGGCACTTGAAGCCGAAGAGCGGTAGTTATTTTACTAATCTTAATACACCAGGTGCGGTGCAAAGTCCTTTAGCTAAATCGGGTTGTTTGTTAACAAAATCGCCCGAAGATCTTTGACTAATATGTGGCAGTAGTGAAGAGTGGTATAGGCTAGGAAGACACGGAAGTGAAAAAGATACACGTACCCCCGTCTTTGTTTGAATGTTTCCTTCAGGCTTTGTGTTACCGATGTTTTTTTTCGTATCCATTATCTTTCTCCTTTGGTGGGACCGTCGGTCCTTTCGACATTTAGGCCATTCGGCTCAGAGTGGACCATTCAAACTTTTAAGCGCTTCCCGCTACTTCCCTCGTGAAATTGATTTCAAGGTCTTCCCTATATTATCCTGTTAGTGAACAGGTAATGGATACGAAGTTACCGATTGCCAAATTACCTTCAGTGTCTCAATGTTGCACACCTATAAGATAAGAACTATGTTTCTCTAAAACGCTTTTCCTACCCAAGCCCTTCCTCATTACTGCAAAACAATCAAACCGCCTTGTGTAAGAAGGTAGACCTTGTGTAGTTGGTAGCCCTTTGTTTTTTTTTTTGAGCTTGTCCGCTTATATACATGTGAAAACTTGGCGCTTTTGAAAACTGTCAATTGTTACCTGTGTGTCTGTCATGTTAGCATATAAGAAAACATTATAATAGCACAAATTTCTGACTGATATTTACTGTAAAAGATGTGCTTCAACGTGTGATAAACCTGACCTTATTTCAATTTCTGGCTCTTGCCAGGTAGATGTTACTGACTACTGATCATTTTTGTATGCGTTGTTGGATGGGTTTTCAAATTCTATATTTCATTACTCGTTACAGAAAACATCCTTTTAATGTGCGCCATTGTATTTGTTGATAGAATAAATGTTTAATGTTGAACTCTTAATGTACATAGACCAAAAATTGGCATTTAGGGAAATTTTCTGTACATAGTTCAATGGAAGACAATACTTAAACGAAAACTGCTTTTATCATTATACATAACATAAGGTAGGGATATCTCATATTTTTGATTTTCTAAAAGTATATTCTTGTCTTCCGTTCGACGTTGGGGGACGGAGACAACGATAGGATTTGTGTAGGACGCGTTATTCTAACAATTTAATCTGCAAAATTTATGATACAAAACAAATAAATATGTTATATATTTGTAAAAAAAAATGTTTAATATATATGTATTTCACAATGTGAATTTTCTTAGTCCACAGAAATATTTCGCCGAATATTCCATGTAATCTATAGATTTCAATTTTTAATATACGGCGTTTAAAACCATAGAAGATACGAAGATGATTAAAATAGAGAAATGATGCAAAATTAAAGAGTTATTATCGTGTTTTAATGAAAACTAGAAAATTCCGATTACTTCCAAAGATATTCCAGAAAAAGTCAAATTTGCCGATTTCGTTTTTATTTTTTTCTGATGTTATTTGAATACATACAAAAAGAACCAGTGCAAATTATCAACTTTATTTTTTATATGGCCCGTCAAAAAAGTACCCACTGTATTGGGTAGCGTTTTTTATTCCAAACACAGCAATTTACGACAAAAAAAAAAGTTGGATTCAACAGGATGGCGAACCCGCGCACAACGCCCTAATCGTGCGAGAATATTTATCGCACAAATTTCCTGCAAAATGAAAAATATATTTTATAGGTGAATGCACCATCCTGTTGAAACCAACGGTTTTCAACTTCAAGGTATGGAAAACCTAAGAATATTTCTTAGGAACCTTTTTCCAGGCTATCGTTTAAAATCTCACAATCTCATTGAAACATTTTTAACAGACCAAATGGAAATTATTGGAAATAATTCTTGCGTGTGTAAAATGACCACTAGGGGGCATATCAGTCATGATCAAATATAAAATTTTAATTTTCTATGGATTTTATGTAATCAAATGGTATCAATGTCAGCTGTGTTTTAATCCGATATTATTTTTTGTTTTACTTTTTTTTCTTATCTTGTGTAAAGTGGTGGGGGGAAATCAAATGTTTTTTAAAAACCGATTTTAGCAAACATGGTCTCGTTTACTAGACCATTATTTGGCCTACCAATAGCCTATTTGGTTTATTAGCTGGTAATTTTACGTTCGTCATTAGAGGGAGTTATCTGAAAAATAACTGTATACTATGATTTTTTTTTTAAATTGAATGAGATTATATTTTTTACAAGATAAAATAGAAAATTTAATACTCGATATTTCAGTAAAAATCCCAGATCTGTACCTATCTTTTTTACAACTCGAGATTAGGTAAAATACATTAGGACAGATGAATTCTTTGACTTCATCCGCCATTTCTTTTTATCACATTGGACGATGTTAATGCTTAATATTTATTATAATTCTAAAAAAACATAAAAATATTTATTTGAATTACTAAACCGTTTTTTAGTGCCTGTTAAACTGGAACTATTTGAACAAATTTAACCAGAAATAAATGCATTTACTTAAATTTAAAGAACAAGTAACCCTTGAAAAGAAAACAATTGAACTAAAATGGCGTGTTGTAATGACAAATAATTTGTCAATGTTTTACCCGGGTCATTATCTTGTTAATTTTTGCGCTTTTTTGTGTTTTAAAAACAATAAAATTCATTTAACTACAGAAGAGTCATTCGATATGGCGTGTAGATATATATTGAACGCATGCGTAATGCAACAATTGCGGCCAGGGTTTATGCTACATATTTCCCTAGAAGACGACATCATACAAGAAGGGTTTTTCGTAGACTGGTCGTTCGGCTTAGAATTAGGTTAGAATCTTATGGTGTCAAAATACCGTAGGGGAGCTGAAGAAAATGTTATAAATGTTTTCTTCAGCTGCCCCTATGTTATAAATGTTTTGGCATACGCATTTTTTTTTGTTGTGCTTCACCAAGCTTTAGGAGTTGAAGATTTCGATCGAAGGGTAGACCACTGTTACTGGCTTTTAAAGATGAAAACCCGAATAGGTACTCTCTCGTATATTATGGACGGATGAGGCCCCATTTACTAGCGATGATGGTGCGAACCTGTACTATTGGTCACCAACTAATCCGCATTGGATGCAGGAGGTGCAACACCAAGGATCATAGGGGGTATCTAGTATTATTGCACCGGTTATCTCTAAGCACGGGCTTTAACTGGAGACGCGCGTTTACTTACATTTCCTAAGAAAAGAATTACCACTTCTTCTGGAAGATGTTCCCCTGAATATTCGTCATGACATTCTCCCTGCATGATGGTTGACGGGGATAGAACGTATTCTAATATACTATATATTTCCATGGCCAGCTAGGTTACCGGACCTCACCGTCTTGGATTGTTATCTGTGGGGAAGAATCAAAGACGTCGTTCTTGCAACCGGGGAAAACATGGAGGAAAGAATTAGAACTGCTCTTAAAATACTTCGAGGGGGCGAAATTAAAACTGCCGTTTTATCCACTGGGCAAAGACTTGCGATGTGTATTGATAGGCAGCAGGTCGTCAATAATCTTTAATCTCGTCTTTAATTAAATTGTTTTTTTTTCCAAGGAGGGTCACTTGTTTTTTAAATTTAAAAATGCGCTTATTTCCGGTTCAAATGTGTTAAAAATATTTTATTGATGTATTGCTCCATATGGAAATTATTTATGATATATAAGCAGGTAAGTAGAGGTAAATAATTTAGATTTTATGTTTTCTTACAGGTTATCGATTTCGAATTTTTTATTTTCATCATCAGACCTTGCTGAAAATAACTGACTAGTTTTACATAGAAATTGTATAATAAAGCTTACCGTCATTTAAATTATTGAATGAAAGAGGGTATGTACATCTGTATGAAGGACCATATGAGTTACATTTATATTTTGATGGTAGTAGTGAATGAAATACAAATTTTAGTAGTTACTCGTCCACAATAACTACTAAAATTTGTATTTCATTCACTACTACCATCAAAATATAAATGTAACTCATATGGTCCTTCATACAGATGTACATACTCTCTTTCATTCAATAATTTAAATGACGGTAAGGTTTATTATACAATTTCTATGTAAAACTAGTCAGTCATTTTCAGCAAGGTCTGATGATGAAAATAAAATTCGAAATCGATAACCTGTAAGAAAACATAAAATCTAAATTATTTACCTCTACTTACATACTTATATGTGTTAAAAATAGTTTAACAAGCCTTAAAATGATTTTGAGTAATTTATGCAAATAGTTTTATGTACTTTTTAAAAACATAATATATAATAAGTGTTACAATCGTCCAATATTATAAAAAACAAGTTGTAAATCAGCATATGCATGATTAAAGCGCATTTTTGATAATGCAGGTCAGTATTTTATTAGCGAAGTTTAAAATTATCGATCTCACGAGTAATTTTGGCTGCGTTAAATAATTAATTTTATTTAATTTCAATTGACGGTACGTCTTCATTTTGTAAAACAAATCACAAAGTAAATAATAAGTTTTTATACTGGTAGCGCTATCTAACGGTAAAATTATAGCACCTCCGAAACCCATATCGAATTTATTTTCATCAATTATCGATCTCACAAGTAATCTAACTCAAAATAGACTAGTGCCTGCACATCTACACAGAAAGCTTTTAGTGAAAATTTGAATTCTCTAGCTATTGTAGTTGTGGAGATCTCACGCGGACAGCCGGCCTGCCAGCAATAACGAATATAATAGCGTATTTTTTTCAAAAATGCGCTAAAAATCTCCGGTAAAGCCAAAGAATTCATTATGTCTTAATCTATTTGGCCCAACATCTCGAGTTCTAAAGAAGATACAATTCTGAATTTTTTTGCTGAAATATTGAGTATTTAATTCTCTATTTTATATAGTAAAAAACATCATCTCATTTAAAATTTTCATGAAAAATCATAGTATAGAGTTAAATATCACCAAACGCCCTCTAGCGACGACTACAACATTGCCAGGTATAAAAGCAAACACGCTGTTGGTAAGCTAAATAAGCCTTTCTTAAACGAGACCAAGTTTACCAAAATCGGTTCCGCCAAAGTTGAAAAATCAATTATCAATATTTATTATTTTAAAAAACATTTGATTTCCCCCCACCACTTTATTTCACAAGACCTCAGCTACCTTTGATACCACTTTATTAGATAAAATGCGGAGAAAATTAAAATTTTATATTTGATCATGACTGTTGCGCCCCCTAGTAGTCATTTTACACACTCGAAAATAATTTCCACCAATTTTTCTTGACACTTCTATTACATAATTTTTCCCCCAATTGGTTTTTGAGATATGACCGACGGCCATACTTTTTTGCCTACCCGGTACAAATTAAATTCTTCGGAAGTATCTTTAAAAGACATCTCTACGGCTCTTCTGAAAAAATGCAAATCGATCACATATTCAAAACATTATCAAAAATCCATTTTGAACCCTTCCTAGAAACTGTTCTATAACTAAAATCCTTGGGAACTTCCTTAAAATTTTCACCGAGCCTTCCACATTCTATAAACGTCCAGAATTTTATTGAAGTAGGAATGGAGCTATATATCTGTTTTGAAACAGTCTTAAAGCCGTCTTAGATATTATTCTAGTCCCCTTAAAATCTAGGGAGCAGTCTCCCTGAGAATCGTCAAAGAATATTCTCAAGGGTAATCTTAGAATAATTTTTTGACCTAGAAATTTTCAGAATATCTATTAAAGCCTTTAACAATTTTTATTGAAGCCGTTTGATATGTTGACTTCACTTTTAGTGCAGCAGTGAAATTGGAGTGTGTATAGAAATAATTCATTAATATCTATCTCTTTTAGAGACATTTTAATTTCTAACTTGAAATCACTAGAAACAGTCTTTTTGGAAGTCTTCATACGAATTTTATTAGAAACCTCTTCCCAACAATGTAAATATGAGTGTAACGCTTGCAGCAGGTTAATTTTCTTGAAAAATACGAAATTTCAAAATGGCCGGGGGTTGAGGGGTTATTTTTGTATGTTTTTTAAAAGGTTGTTACTAGACACTTTATTCGTGATATACCGGGTGGCGACTTTAACAACGCGCCATAGGAATTTCAATAGTAATTTTTTCATTTCTGGTTATTGGCTTCCCTAATTATTTTAGAGATAGTCTGTTTAGGTTTATAGAGAAAAAAAATTACGACTCCATCCATACTATGGCTTTTAATTTTTTTAACTTTAAAACCAAGAAATTGGATAACTAAAAGCAAC